GAATAATTAAAGCTACCTGACAATATTAATAATAAAAACAATCTAAAAATCAGGAATAATTAAAGCTACCTGACAATATTAATAATAAAAACAATCTAAAAATCAGGAATAATTAAAGCTACCAGACAATATTAATAATAAAAACAATCTAAAAATTAAGTAACAATAAAAACAAAGAGCAAGAACAAAAAATAAAAACAAAATTACTTATTAAAAATGTAGTGTTCAACACCCCTCAGTTGCACAGCGATATGTCTGCGGACATACAACGCTAGAATCCGGGTCTCGATATCCATGGTGGAGAGAGCACAGATAGCCTATTGTGTTGCTTTGTGCTTAACTTCAAACAATCAGTATTCAACCAAACACGTTTTAATGAATACTAAAATTGTAAACGAATATTTTTTTCGCTAATTTTAATTATTCTAGTAGTTTAACCTTTTAATTGAGGAGCTTAAAACCTTATGTATAGTAATCTCTAAAACAATCTTTCTTTATCTATGTCTCACAGTTTTATTAATACAATACTGTTCGTCAGGTACATAAAACTCTCTATATGGTAATCCTTAAAATTATTTCTTTATTTCTAACTCAAATTCTACGAATTATATTTATCCATATAGCAAATACCCTGTGCACAGGTATCTCTAAAAATGTTGAACTGAGATCTATCACAGTTGTTTACTTAAACGTTAGCGAGATAACTAACACCCTAGTTACAGTAATTTCTGAAAATATTTAATTTCACTTCTCTCTATTAGTTTTACTAATTCAAACTGCTATTATACTTGTCATAAATATTACATTTTTAAAAACTACATTCTTTATCTAGTTCCTTAAGGATTTTCAAGAATTCGAGCTACTTTATATTTGTCACATCCATTGCCGATGACGCGTTTTTCTTAATCCAGAGCTCCTCAGGTTGGCTGGGGTATAACAAACAGCAGTGGCCAGAACACTATTTATATAAACCATTCTGTGTGTGTTTTGTCTCACTCGGCCTGAAGAGTTCTGCATTGAAACGTTTCCTCGGCAATGCATATGACAAATATAGTGTAGTTTGAAAACTATTATTATACACTCTTCTAATTCTGGAAAATCCCTAGACAAAGAATGTACAGTTTAAAAATGTAATAGGCCAAATGCTAAGGTCATATTACAAGTATAATTGTAATCATTCTTCGCTAGCTTGTAAATACGTGCATACCATAATAATATAAACTGTCGGTGAGAGAGCCAGTATTCTCTACAATAATATCTAAAAATGTTTGATTTTTTTCAACTATCTGTGTTAGTAATACAAAATTCTTATTCAGGTAAGCAGTATCATTTATACAATAATCTCTGAGCGTTTTATTGCACATGTATTTTGTTTTACCAGTTGACAGAGACACATATCTATGTTTGTCTTAAATTTAGGTATTTTGTGTGTGTATATATATATATATAGCTGAGGTATGTGTGCTTAATAAGGTCAGTAATGATATTGTATCAGGATAGCTGTATTTTGTTAAGTTATTATTTTTTGTTTATATCTGTGCTGTTGATAGTGTTAGCCTGTTACCTCAATCATCTGTCCCTCAGTACGTCAACTAGACAGACTCATTTTCTAGTCTCTGATTTGAAGAATTAACAGCTGAAACCATTTAATGGTTAAACGAACAAAACACAAAGTAGGTAATAAAAACAATGTACAAGAAAGAACAACTTAGCAATACTATAAAATCGTAAAGAGGTAACATAGCAAGTACGTTGCTAGCGAAGTCTGATACATTGGAGTTGACTCAACAGTAACATCGAAACACACAAAAAGAGAAAAACCCTATAACCCGAGCGCTTTCGAAAGGTGGACCTTTCTTCTTAGGGGCAAACTGGGAATGGTGATGTAATCGAATAAGTGATATATAAATGAAGTTGAGTGACGTCATGTAGGTCATCTGGTCTTCCAGGAAATATTTAGTATATTTTTCCATGTACTGTTGTAAGTGTGTTCCATATCCGGTACACATAATTACACAATATTAAATAATTTTCAGAAAAACTTGAAGGACAGGTATCAATGATATATATATAAGTTATCTAATATCCCATATCTTCTTGGTAATACTTGAAGAACAAACATCAGTGATTTATATAAGTTGCATGATATTCCATAACCTCTAACTGTCTAACGTTGTTGGAAAGGTCCTGAAGACGAAAGGCGGAAGACATTCGAAACGTCGTCATCTACACTTGTGTCTCTACAACAGGCAGGTGCCGTCCATTTTACAAAATCTCATCTTGAATACTTTGCCTAAACAACTTGGCAAGGAATGTTTTTTCATTTCCGGTATACTGTGGCCGGCGACAAGAGCGCTATGTAAAAAGGTGTTTGTGATATGTTGCTTTAGAAATGTTTAAATAAGAAATAATTAAAACTATACTTAAGTTTTTAAGTAGAATAAAGGTGACACATGGAGACTGATTGAAAAAGAGTTGTTGAGCTATTTGATTTACACAAACAGATATGGAAAGTTATCTTAAATAGATAGTAAGACAGAGAAATTAGGTTTCACGCTACATGAAAGAAATTAGCAAAGAATAAAAAATATTTTGACAGAACGAAACCAATGATCGGATATCACTGATCCCAAGATCTAGATTGGTTCCACAAGGTTGAACAGTGTTTAAATTAGCGATCCAATAAGCTTCATTTACTTCTCTATCAGCTTTAGTTTCAATGCCGATGAGAGTAACATCATTAATGGAATGACCTGGATGGTTAAAGTGTTGAGCAATATGGAGATCTTTTTCTGTTTTAATAAATAATTTATGGTTGTTGAAAACGTTCTCTAAGAGTTAGTTTTGTATGTCCTACATATTGGTGATTGCATTTTTATACTGTATAAGGTAAATGGTGTTTTGCGTTCCACAAGTGATTTCCTTGGTTTGTTTGTACTTGTCAGAAAAGGAGTCAGTAGTTTTTATGAACTTTCCGCTTTGACAACGAGTTTATTGCATGATGACAATCATTTTTTATGGTGGGATGTAATTCACTTTTGTCTGAACAAAAAAATCTTTTAGAGTTCTGCTTTTTCTGAAGGAGACAACGGGAATTTCAGGAAATATCTGTTTAAGGCGATCGTTAAGTTGTAGGAAATGAAAAAAAAATTTTTTTCAGAATTCGTGAAACATTTCTGAGTTTAAACTGATAGGTAATAGTAAGAGGAATTCTATTCGAAACTTTAGTATTGCTCTGTTTTAGGATGTTTTTTCACTGAGTGTTGTTAGCTTTTTCGATCTGTCTGTCGATTTCAGTATCTTTATATCCTATTTGTAACATGGTTTGCTTTAGATCCTTGGTGTGTTTTCTGTAGTTTGTTTCATCTGAGCATATTTTCTTTATAGTAAGAGCTTAACAGTAGGTAAAGTTCCGTTTAGTGTGAGTGGGGTGACAGCTTTTATAATGAAGGTACTGTGGTCTGTCTGTAGGTTTTTGTATAAGTCTGTGTATACAATTCCTTCATTTATAAAGACAATGACGTCAATGAAAGTTAATTTGGGTAGGCGAGTAATTAAAGGTAGACTTCTATGATATTAAGAAAGTGAGAGAATACATTTTATGTGTTGGTCAACAAAACTGGACAGTTTTTCTGTAGCCATGTGTATATTAGAAGTTATGGGTCGGCCAGGATTGTTTGGTTTGTGTATTTTGGGTAAGAAATAAAATCTACCAGGAAAAGCTTATCTGGGTATCAAACACTGAAAGGTTTCTTTGTTAATTTTATTGTTTTGGTGAAGATCTTTAAGTCTATCAGTTATGGTCTTAATAAAGTGAGTTGAAGGGTCATGTGAGGGTTTCTTGTAGAAATCAGTGTCCACTAGTTGCAAGTTAGCTTCCGTGATATAGTCATCATTGTTAAGAATAACAACAGCCCCATCCAATCCTTTCAAATTCCATCAGTGGAGCGCAACTTAAACGATGTCATAGCTATTACCACTTCTCTTCCCGAATCTGGCCGATTTCTGATAATTCACAACCTGAAACAATCGGATAAGACTGTTGAAGACTGTTTCTCAGAACTTGAAAACACAATAGCACATATCTCAGACCACACATTAAACTGGTTGTCTCTAGTGTAATCTATAAACATATGAACAGACACGTTTCCTCTGATTGCCACATACAAAATAGCCCAATAATTAAAGAATTCAACAATAAAATTCAGCATTTTAATGAGTTAACCAAATTCCTATGCAGACTTAACTCCCAAGTTGCCTTCATTAACCATACAAACCTAATATCACTCACTAAATTTCTCGCGCGAAATTGACTTCACCTTAACTTTTCTGATGTTCTTACCTTGGCCTCAAACTTCAAATACTTTATTTCCCCTAGCATTCTCCCACTATTGTCTTCCTCTTCTAAGTTATTTTAATCATCTCCCATTTCAACTTCTAATAGTTCTTCTACTCTTCCCTATCCAAATTCTACATTTTTCCATATCTAACAAGCTACTGAAAACTAAAAACTCATTCACTCGCTCACAGTGATCCTTCAAGTTCTTCTGTTAGGGGACTAAACACAAATCACACTTCCCCAAAAACACCACATTCCACAAATAGCAGCATTCGTTTTCTTATGCTTCTGTTCTTCGTTCTTATTTACTCACAAACCCTTCCACTCCCTTGTCTACAAAACTACACCAAATCAACATTAGTGTAAACACTGCATGTGATACACTACAATATTCACTAGTCAATCAGTCTCTTGTAGAATTACCTTCATTAGAACATCCTTCATCTGTTGGCATCCACTCTCACAATGACCATCAATGCAGTGTTTATACATCGTCAATGTTAATACACACTCTGAAGAAGACAGCTACCCTCCTTTTCCTTCTCTTGAACTTCTCCACTCTCTTTTTAATGATCACGGCGACGTCCTTACACCAATATCTGTTAACACTCAACCTGAACCAAGCGGCGAATCACTCAAATACAGCAGAAAACAACTATTTCAGAAACTAAGAAAACTCACTGAGAACTGCACAAGACATTGTAAAAATGCGAAGTCGCTTGTGTATAACATAAAAAACCGAAACATACCTCAATAAAAGCACCAATCACAATAGGAGCACATGATAAGAATTTTCTGTGTCAAGTGGCAACAGATCCTTGAAAACAGCTCCTTAGAACTCATAAATATCACTAAAATCTTCTGTCAAAAATTCTAGATAAAGAAATTTCTCACTATTATCACCTGTACAATCCTTCGCTGGAAGAAAAAAAAAGTCTAAAAAAAATTACAAAGAGAACTGATACATTCCTTCTTAAAAGAATAACAGGAATCAGTCTCCTGCCAATAACACCATTTCACAAAGTGCTTCTAACAACTCACTTTACTAAGACCATAACTGATAAACTTAAAGAACTTCTGCAAAACATTAAATTAACAAAGAAACCTTTCAGTATTTGATACCCAGACATACATTTCATGGTAGATTTTATCTCTTAACCAAAATACACAAACCGAACAATCCTGGCCGGCCCATAATATCTAACAAAAACATGGCTACTGAAAAAATGTCCGCTTTTGTTGACCAACACATAAAATGTATTCCATGTACTCTCCCTTCTTACATAAAGGATACAATTCATTTTCTTAACATCATAGAAGATATTAATACTAACGGACAGTTACCACCCAACAGTTTTCTTTGCACGATGTATTTTTCTCCCTCTAAACCAATATTTCACATGATGAAAGACTAGCAAACTCCAAAGTCCGCATTAAACCTTTCTAACCAATCAGATTATCAAACAGTAACTGATCTTGCCAGCCTTGTTTTAACTCTGAACAACTTTGAATTCAACAACGAGTATTACATTCATGTTAACGGTACTGCAATGGGTACCAAAATGACTCCCAATTATGCCAACAATTTTATGGGTCATATTTAAAGCCAGCTTTCACAACTAAGCTCTGTAAAACCTCATACATGGGAACGTTACACAGACGACATATTTTTCATGTGGACAGCTGGTCTTGAACCACTTAAAGAATTTATCTCATATACAAACCCCTTTCACAGAGAATCAAGTTTACCTTTAATTACTCGCCTACCCAAATTAACTTTCTTGGCATAACTGTCTTTATAAATAACAGAATTTTACACACCGACTTGTGCAAAAAACCTGCAGACATACCACAATACCTTCACTAAATGGAACTTTACCTACCGTTAAGCTCTTAGAATAAAGAAAATATGTTCAAATGAAACAAAATACAGAAAACACACCAAGGAGCTAAAACAAACCATGTTACATAGAGGATATAAAGATCGACAAGGCTAACAACACTCAGTGGAAAAACATTCTAAAGCAGAGCAATACTAAAGTTTCAAATATAATTCCTCTAACTATTCGCTATCAGTTTAAACTCAGAAACGTTTCACGAATTCTGAAAAAAAAATGTTCATTTCCTACAACTTAACGATCGCCTTAAACAG